GTGTGTGTGTGTGTGTAGTATGTATATGGAAAGGTTAAAAAAAGGCAAGGATGAAACTTGTGCTTTTAAAGTGGAATTTAAAATAAACTATTTTCCCCCAGTTTATGTAGACAGATAAAGAAATAAACAGACATAAATATGTATGTTTATGTGTGTGTGTATAAGTGTGGGCCCACAGAGTGGACCCTGGCTTAGAATGACCCTAATTGCATTGAATGTGCCTACCACGGAGATCCTGGTTTCTAAATACTATTCCTCCTTAAAAAGAAACCAAAGGCTGGGCGCGGTGGCTCAAGCCTGTAATCCCAGCACTTTGGGAGGCCGAGACGGGCGGATCACGAGGTCAGAAGATTGAGACCATCCTGGCTAACACGGTGAAACCCCGTCTCTACTAAAAAATACAAAAAACTAGCCGGGCGAGGTGGCGGGCGCCTGTAGTCCCAGCTACACGGGAGGCTGAAGCAGGAGCATGGTGTGAACCCGGGAGGTGGAGCTTGCAATGAGCTGAGATCACGCCACTGCACCCCAGCCTGGGCGACAGACCGAGACTCCGTCTCAAAAAAAAAAAAAAAAAAAAAAAAAGAAACCAAGTATTCTTGAAGAAATGGCAAATTCAGGGCCAGGACAGGGAGAAACAAGATGAGCCTGAAATATCTTGTTGAGCCAGGAAGAAACGAAGTGATTAAAGAATGACGGGGTTTGTCAAGATGACAAGAGGTCAGCAAGGGGCATCCACTGATCAAATCTGGGACAATCTGAGCATCAAAATAAATGACAGGAAAAAGCCAGTCATGGTGGCTCATGACTGTAGTCCCAGCTACTTGGGATGCTGAGAAGGGAGGATCGCTTGAGCCTAGGAGGTCGAGGCTGCTGTGAGCTATGATTGCACCACTACACTCCAGCCTGGGTGACAGAGTGAGACCCTGTCTCAAAAAAGGGAAAAAAAAAAAAAAAAGGCATGGTTTGGTCTTGCTTTTTTTGTTTGTTTTGTTTTGTTTTTTTGAGCTGGAGTCTCAGTTTGTCGCCCAGGCTGGAGTGCAGTGGCGCAATCTCGGCTCATTGCAACCTCCGCTTCCTGGGTTCAAGCGATTCTCCTGCCTCGGCCTCTTGAGTAGCTGGGATTACAGGCGCCTGCCACCATGCCCAACTAATTTTTTGTAGTTTTTTTTTTTTTTTTGAGACAGAATCTCACTCTATTGCCCAGCCTTGAGTGCAGTGGTGGTGCCATCTCGGCTCACTGCAATCTCCGCCTCTCGGGTTCAAGCGATTCTCCTGCCTCAGGCACCCGAGTAGCTGGGATTACAGTCGCGTGCCACTATGCCTGGCTACTTTTTAAAATGTGTAGTAGAGATGGGGTTTTATCGTGTTGGCCAGGCTGGTCTCGAACTCCTGGCCTCAAGTGATCCGCCCGCCTCAGCCTCCCGAAGTGCTGGGATTACAGGCTTGAGCCACCGCGCCCGGCCTGGTGCACCTCTCTTTAGGCAACTTGCTAGTAGTCCCCTGCTCCTGGGAGGTCACCAAATTGGTGGTGAACTTAGTGCAAGTACAGTTACCTGCAATACAGGCATACTGCACTACAACCTGGAACTCCTGGGCTCCAGCGATCCTCCTGCCTCAGCCTCCCGAGTAGCTGGGACTACAGCCACCACACCTGATGACATTTACTGTTTGGAGCTGGGTTGAGGAACTAATCCCTAATATGTAACTTTGCTGAAAAGTCCTTTGCTGAAATGGAGATTTCTTTTTACACATTTATTAATATGTTGTTGGTATACTCCGGGTATTTGTGGAGGTGGTGGTCACCTCAAGGTTGGTGGGGGGTACTGAGACCCCTGAGGGCACAGCAGACCTACCCATGCTCTCGGATCAGAATGCTGGGAATATTAGAGGTAGTACTCAAGATGTTAGGAGGGCCAGGTGCGTTGGGAGGCTGGCACTGGAAGTCAGGAGTTCAAGACCAGCCTGGGCACCATAGAGAGACCCCATGTCTACAAAACATTTTAAAAACAATTGGTGGGCATGGTGGTGAATGCCTATAGTACCAGCTACTCGGAAGACTGAGGAGGGAGGATCCGTTGAGCCCAGGAGTTTGAGGCTGCAGTGAGCTATGACTGTGCCACCGCACTCCTGCCTGGGCGACACACTGAGTCTAAGAACAAAAAATGCGGACTGGGCATGTGGGTCACGCTTGTAATCCTAGCACTTTGGGAGTTTGAGGCAGGCAGATCACTTGAGGTCAGGAGTTTGAGACCAGCCTGGCCAACATGGTGAAACCCCATCTCTCCTAAAAAAAAAATCAAAATTATCTGGGTGTGGTGGCAGGCACCTGTAGTCCCAGCTACTTGGGAGACTGAGGCAGAAGAATCGTTTGAACTGGGAGGTGGAGGTTACAACGAGCTGAGATTTCACCACCGTACTCCAGCCTAGGTGACACAGTGAGAGTCCATCTCAAAAAAAAAAAAAAAATGTGGCTGGGCACGGTGGCTCATGCCTGTAATCCCAGCACTTTGGGAGGCTGAGGTGGGCGGATCACGAGGTCAGGAGATTGAGACTATCCTGGCTAACACATGGTGAAATCTGGTCTCTACTAAAAATACAAAAAATTAGCCGGGCGTGGTGGTGGGCGCTTGTAGTCCCAGCTACTCGGGAAGCTGAGGCAGGAGAATGGCGTGAACCCACGAGGCGGAGTTTACAGTGAGCTGAGATCGCACCACTGCACTCCAGCCTGGGCGACAGAGCGAGACTCCATCTCAAAAACAAAACAAAACAAACAAACAAAAAATTTCGAGCTGGGTGTGGTGGCTCACACCTGTAATCCAAGCACTTTGGAAGGCTGAGGCGAGCGGATCACTTGAGGTCAAGAGTTCTAGACAACCCTGGCCAACATGGTGAAATCCCGTCTCTAAAAAAAAATAACTAAAAAAAAATAAAAATTAGCAGGGCGTAGTGGTGGGCGCCTGTAATCTCAGCCACTCGGGAGGATGAGGCAGGGGAATTGCTTGAACCCGGGAAGCAGAGGTTGCAGTAAGCCAAGACTGCACCACTGCAGCCACTGCACTCCAGCCTGGCAATAGAGTGAGACTTTGTCTCAAAAAAATACATAAATAAAATAAATGGCCAGGCATGGTGGCTCACGCTCGTAATCCCAGCACTTTGGGAGGCCAAGGCAGGCAGATCATGAGGTCAGGAGATCGAGACCATCCTGGTTAACACGGTGAAACCCTGTCTCTACTAAAAATACAAAAAATTAGCCGGGCGTGGTGGCAGGCACCTGTAGCTGAGGCAGAATGGCGTGATCCTGGGAGGCGGAGCTTGCAGTGAGCTGAGATGGCACCACTGCACTCCAGCCTGGGTGACAGAGCAAGACTCTTGTCTCAAAAGGTCAATAAATAAATAAATAAATAAAATGTGAGGAGGAATTTGCCAGGAATACACTTTTTTCCTTCTGTTTTTCTGCAGGGATAAGGTTATATTTGTATGTGTGGATGACGCCATTCAAGGTACGAAGCTAACCCTTCAGGACGGGGGCTGGGGTACCTTATGTCTCTCAGCACTGGAGACACCATGCCTTCTTCCCTCCTCTCCTTCCCTCTCTCTGTATGAGACAAGGTCTTGCTCTGTTGCCTAGGCTGGAGTGCAGTGGTGTGATCCTATGGCTCACTGTGGCCTTGAACTGGGCACAATAGATCCTCCTGCCTTGGCCTCCCTGAGTGCTGGGATGCCAGGCATGAGCCACCTTGCCTGGCTCCGCCCCTCCTTTCGCAAGACGTGGGTATAGCACCCTCTTGCGGTGAAGGGAGGAAGGGGGTTGAGTGTGCTCTGGGCCGGATGGAGGTTTCTAGGGTGCAGCAGGGCCTCCTCCTTGGCCTGACGGGGGTGGGGCCTGCCAGGGAGTGCCTTGCTGGGAAGGGAGGGCAAAGGGCCGTGTCTTTTGCTTGCCCCACCCGACTGCCAAGAGTCGCAGTCACCAGGCCACCCTGAGTCCTGGCCCTTGAAGGTAAGTGTTCTTCTGAACACAGCTGCTTTGTCCTTCCCCGATGACTGGGTGAGATTTCTTTACTCCTTGGGGGTCCAAATACCCTGCCCACACTGCTTGCACTGAGGCAGGCAGTGGCCACAGCAGCCACCTCCTTTTCCTTTCCATAGGTCCATGAGACTGGGGCAGAAGCAGGGGCAGGTACACCGCACCTCAGCCCCCTCCCCACCTGACAGCAGCATCAGAGCCGAGGCCAAGGCGGGAGGGCCCAGAGTGGGACACCTCTTCCAGACAAGCCTTGGTCGCCGCCTCCTCCTCTGTCACCCTGCAACACAGCCCAGAGTACCAAGCGGCTGGAGCACTGGGGGACACCAGGACAGAACCTTCCCTGGACCAAGTCCTCCAGGAGCGGGATGAAGCCATTGCCAAGTAAGGGGAAGCTGCTTTTGGGGGCCAGGAGGGGAGCTGGGGGCTCCCCTGCAGGGCCTTGTCCTGCTAATGGAGGAGCGGGGGGCTAGTCAGGCATTCTGGAAAGAAAGCCACACAAGCAGCTGCCCTGTCACTGAGGCCAGGGCTGTGGCCACACTCATCCACCCCCAGGACCCCATAACCAGACCCACAGGGTCCGAGCCTCAGCTACTCTCTTTGCTACCCACAGGAAGCAGGCAGTGGAGGCAGAGCTGCAGAGGTGCGAAGCCAGGCTACGCACCATGGAGGCCCAGCTGCTGGAGGTCCTGGAGGAGAAACTGAGGCTGAGGCGGGAGCTGGAGGCCTGGGAGGTAGGCGGAATGCCGTCAGGGCCTGGGAGGTGTGGGGAAGAGGGCACAGGCTCAGCCTTGAACCTGCTCTCCTGTCCACAGGAGGACGTGCAGCAGCTGGTATGGCAGCAGGTCCAGCATCAGCTGCAGAGAGAGACTGAGGGTACTCGGGGACACCACATGGACCCTGGAGCTGCCAGGACCCCCCGGTCCAAATTCTCCCTGGGTCGGGGACGTTGGTGGTGACACAGACCTCAGCCCAGGACTTGGAGAGTAATGTCTTTATTCATTAAAGCCTGAGGTCTGACCACCCCTGTAAAACCTCATGCCCACTCAGTGCCCGTCTGAGTCCTCCTGTGCCCAAATGTGGAGCAGGCTGCAGGGACTGGAAGCCTGGGGTTTTGTGCCTCCTGTTTGTTTTGTTTTGTCTTTTTTGAGATGTAGTCTTGCTCTGTTGCCCAGGCTGGAGTGCAGTGGTGTGATCTCGGCTCACTACAACCTCCGCCTCCTGGGTTCAAGTGATTCTCCTGCCTCAGCCTCCTGAGTAGGTGGGATTACAGGCGTGCAACACCACGTCAGGCTAATTTTTGTACTTTTAGTAGAGATGGGGTTTCACCATGTTGGCCAGGCTACTCTCGAACTCCTGGTGTCAAGTGATCCTCCCACCTCAGCCTCCCAAAGTGCTGGAATTACAGGCATAAGCCACTGCGCCCAGCCCCCTTCTTGCCAGCAACTCTTAGACCAGGAAGCCTCGGATGGCATCTATGAAGTCCTGTGGGCGTTCAGCGTGGATCCAGTGGCCAGCATTCGGCACCGTCTGTATCTGGGCCCGAGGGAAGAGCCGCATAATCTCAGGGTGGTGGCTGGGACTGTGCATCGCAGTGACGGCCATCGAAAATGGGTGAAAGTGGGATAAGGAGTGAAAGAGACAAGTGTAAGCAGAGTGGGGAGAAACGGAGAGAGCTGCATAAGTCCACATGCCCAGTGGTATTTCTGGCCTCTCAGCCACCCCCCTTCCACACCCAAGGCCTTCCCTGGTAGGGTCCCCAGGCTAGGGCCTGGGCGAGTAAAGCATGCCCCTCCCACTACCCAAGCTGGCTTACTGCACGAATTGGGAGTTTCCACCGAGGAGAAAGAGTGTTGGTCCGAGGTAGGACTCCTGCCTCTGTGGGAAAGTCAAGAGCTTGTCTAGGTGCTGGGCCAGGGCATCCAAGTTCAACCTCCACGCCAGACGCCCGTCTACCTCTACCAGGTTGGTGAGCAGGTACTGCCGTACGGCCAGGTTCTGTGGAGGTGCAGCAGTTGGGGGGGTTCCTTGTGCGGACTGGGGGTACCACTCGTCCCTTGACAGGTCCCGGTCTACAACAGCATCCGGGGGGCTTGGGTGTATCACCTGGACAACAGAACTGAGCTGTTCATCTGCCAGTTTCCGGGCACGGGAGCGGGGCAGCCCATCTGGGATATTGACGGTCCTCATGGCTGCCACATAGGCAGGAAAGTGGGAGGAACCTGTGCCTTCCACTGGGCTGATATCTACAGCAATCAGACGTTCCACCAGCTCTGGCTGTGGGAGAGAACCGAATTGGGACCAGTCTTAGGCAGACACAGTGAGTCTCAGGTACGGCTCCTGGAGCCTGAATGTGGTCATCCAAGGATCATTTGAGTCCCAGGTTGCCTGCGGAGCACTCAGGGTATATACTGAATGGGAGGAGGTCCCAGACAGGAGCGGCTCACCCTCTGTAGTGCCAGCAGCATGGCTGTCCTCCCTCCCATGCTGTGACCAACGACGACACAGGGAACCAGGCCCAGCTGGGGCAGGAGGTCCTGCAGGTCCTGGCTCATGATCTCGTAGCTCATGTCTGGGCTGTGGGGGCTGTTACCGTGGTTACGAGCATCCACCGTCAGCACCTGGGGAGTGGGTTGAGACAGAGCTGCGCTGGTATCCCCATTCTAGGGTAGACAGCCAAAGGCCTTGTAGGGACAGCAGGTCAAGGGTGTGGAGAGCCTGGGGATACACCCTGCAGAGGGGATGGGCCCAGATGGTGGGAGGGCCCAGTTTCCAGACCTAGAAGGCCCAGATGAAGAACCTGGGGCCACTCTGCCAGAGAAGAGCAGGCCCCAGGGTTGTGACCACGTCTCTGAAGGGCTGGCCAGGCTGGGGGGTAATCCCGGAGAATGCCAGGAACGAGACTCCAGGAATTTCCAACAGTAGGAGCACAGAAGAACGGGCTGCCATAAGAGGTGGTGAGCTCCAGGTCATCCCTAGGAAACAAGCAGGCCCCTTCATGGAAAGGGTGCAGGCGCCTAGTCATTGGCCAGCGCCGATGGAGATCTACAACATGAATTAATGAAGATGGCAACGTAAGGGAACAAACAGGGTTGCCGTTCAGGGTCCATGCTCAGCGTGAGGAGCGGGACCCCGAGAAGCGGGACGCCCCAGCCCCGCCTCCTCCCAGGCCCCGCCCACTCGGAAGCGCACCCTACGTCCTGTCTGCTGGGAGAAGGCCTTGGCGATGGAGTTGAAGTTAGTTTTGCAGCCGAAGAGCCCGTGCAGAAAAATGACGGCCGGGAGGGCTGCCTCCCCGTCCAGAAGGCTGTAGGAAAGCGGAAGCGGCCTGGCAGGGGAAGGATCCGGGTCAGGGTCTGAACCGGCGGAGGCGGGGAAAGGGGTAGGGGAAAGGGCTTTGGGGGAGAGGCCTGGGAGGCGACGGGCCCAAGGGGAGGATATGGGGCCGTCGGGGCCCGGCAGGAAAAGGAGGACAGGGCGCCTCCCGCCCGGTGCCCCTGACTGACCTCGGCTCGGCCTCCCCTCGGCCGCCGCTGCTGCTGGGTGCGACAGGCACCCTCGCGAAGCTACGACTGTGCAGGCCGAGCCCCTCAAGGGGGAGCCTCCAGGCTCGGGTACAGCGGAGCATGCTTGCAAGCCGTTGTCCGGCTCGCACCTCGCAAGCTACGGCCTACCCACGCTCCTTCTTCCGCTCTCGCTCGGAGCCCCGCCCAGTTCCGTCTTGAGCCCCGCCCAGTTCCGACTTGAGCCACGCCCTCTCCCCGCCCCCATCGCGGATTCTCCGCCCTCGGTCACGTTTCCTTACGTAATCCCCGAGAACGGTCCGGCCCCGCCTCCATCCCCGCCCCTTACGCCATTACGTAATCCCCGCAGGCCTTGCGCCGATCGCCCTGAGCGCCGCACCTGGCCACGCCCTGGGCGGGGCCACCCAGTGCTTGCCCCGCCCCTCGCGAAGCCCCGCCCAGCATAGAATCCGCGCGGGGAGTCGGAACCCTCCCGCCCTAAGGTCTGGGAATTCGGTCTGCGCCGCTCTGCGCGTGCTCGGTTCTGTGCTGCAGCTTGGGCCTCGGTTCCCGCCCCGCACCTGTCGTCGCTCACTGGCCTGGGTGGCTGCCATCGTTTCTGTGCCGCCGGCGGGGGCGAGCGGCGCCAGTGTGGCTCTGGGCGGCGGAGCGCCAGTGTGGTGGCGCCGTGCTCCACTGCTGGGGGCCCGGGCAGGCTGGGCGGAGCACAGGCACCCATCCAACCTGGAGTCGTCGATCTAGAAGGAGCTCGGGGGCACTCTAGAGCTCTCCCCCAAGCCCCTCTGTCCCCTTTACATTTGGGGGAGCCTCTCAGTCTGATCCCGCCTGCTTTTCCGCCCGTACTCTCCGTTCTCATACTCCCCTATCAGGCACCCTGCCTTTCAAGGTCTTCTCCACACCCCACCTCCTCCTGCTGGGGTGCTGTCTGTCTTCCAGATAGCCAGTTGCCCGCGTCCTATACTTTTTTTTTTGGTGGGGGGTCTTACCCTCGCCCAGGCCGGAGTGCACTGACGCGACCGTAGCTCACTGCAGCCTCGACCTCCTGGGCTCAAACGATCCTCCGGCCTTTTCCTCCCGAGAATCTGGGATTACAGGCGCAGACTAATTTTAACTTTTTTTTTCTTTCTTTCTTTCAGAATCATGGTTAAAAATTTTTTTTTAGGCCGGGCGTGGTGGCTCACGCCTGTAATCCCAGCACTTTGGGAGGCTGAGGCAGGTGGATCACCTGAGGCCAGGACTTCAAGACCACCCTAGCCAACATGGCGAAACCCCGTCTCTAGTAAAAATACAAAAATTAGCTGGACATGGTGGCAGGTGCCTGTAATCTCAGCTACTTGGGAGGCTGAGGCAGGAAAATCGCTTGAACTCAGGAGGCGGAGGTTGCAGTGGGCCAAAATTGCGCCACTGCACACCAGCCTTGGGAATGGAGACAGACTCCTTTCAAAAAAAAAAAAATTGCCGGGCCTGGTGGCAGGGCCCTGTAAGTCCCAGCTACTTGGGAGGCTAAGGCAGGAGAATCGTGTGAACTTGGGAGATGGAGGTTGCAGTGAGCCAAGATCTTGCCACTGCATTCCAGGCTCAGTAACAGAGCGAGACTCTTATCTCAAAAAAAAAAAAAAAAAAAAAAATTTTTTTTTAAATAGAACCAGGGTCTTGTTATGTTGCCCAGGCTGGTCTCAAACTCCTGAGCTCAAAGTGCTGAGATTACAGGCATGAGCCACCATACCTGGCCCAACAAAATTTTTTTTAAAGAAGGGTCTTGCTATCTTGCTCAAGCTGGTCTCCAGCTCCTAGCCTCAAGCAACCCTCCCATCTCAGGTATATGGCTTTTATTTTATTTTTTCTGAGACAGGGTTTCACTACGTCACCCCAGGCTGGAGTACAGTGGCACAATCATGGCTCACTGCAACCTCTTCCTCCCGGGCCCAAGCAATCTTCCTGCCTCAGCCTCCTGAATATCTGGGACCACAGATGTGCAGCATCATGTCTGGCTAATTTTTTTCTGTTTTGTAGAGATAGGGTCTTGCTATGTTCTAGGCATAGCAAGGGGACAGTTTCAGGCTGGTCTGGAACTCCTAGACTCAAGTGATCCGCCTGCCTCAGCCCCCTGAGCAGATGGAACTACAGGTGTGCGCCACCATGCCTGGCCTCGGCTATAAGCTTTTATGTTTTTTTTTTTTTGTTTTTTTTTTTTTGAGATGGAGTCTCACTCTGTCGCCCAGGCTGGAGTGCAGTGGTTGGATCTCGGCTCACTGCAAGCTCTGCCTCCCACGTTCAGGCCATTCTCCTGCCTGAACTGAGTAGCTGGGACTACAGGCGCCCGCCACCACGCCCAGCTAATTTTTTTGTATTTTTAGTAGAGACGGTGTTAGCCAGGATGGTCTCGATCTCTGACCTCGTGATCCGCCCGTCTCGGCCTCCCAAAGTGCTGGGATTACAGGCTTGAGCCACTGCACCTGGCCAGCTATAGGCCTTTTAAGGCCTTGTATAACTGCTGCCTCCTCAAGCCTTCCCAGATTTTCTGAGTTAAAACTAATCTCTTTGATCGAACGTTCTCGAAGCATTTCTCGGAGGCTACTGTGTAGTATTATAGAGGCGGCCTCCCTGTGTGCGTCCACAGCAGGAGCCATGTCTTGTTCATGTGGTGCAAAGTGGTAATAGTCATCAAGAGTTTCAGGGCGCTGGGAAATGCTTATGTGAAAGTTCCCAGGTGGCTGGGTTAGTGGCTCTCCTGGAGATGACACCTGGGCCAGCTAGTCTTATACTGGCCCCTCCCCCACCTCCTTAGGGCGGTCCAGGACCCACAGGATGAGTCCTAACTCTTTTTTACATAATTAATTAATTAATAATTATTATTATTATTTGAGACGGAGGTTCGCTCTTGTTGCCCAGGCTGGAGTGCGGTGGTGTGATCTCGGCTCACTGCAACCTCCACCTCCTGGGTTCAAGTGATTCTCCTGCCTCAGGATTACAAGTAGCTAGGATTACAGGCATGCGCCACTATGCCTGGCTAATTTTGTATTTTTAGTAGAGACTGGGTTTCTCCACGTTGGTCAGGCTGGTCTCAAACTGCCGACCTCAGGTGATCCACCCACCTCAGCCTCCCAAAGTGCTGAGATTTACAGGCATGAGCCACTACGCCCGGCCATTACTTTTTTTTTTTTTTTCTTCTTTGAGACAGGGTCTGGCTCTGTCGCCCAGGCTGGAACCCGGCTCACTGCAACCTCCGCCTTCTGGGTTCAAGCAATTCTCATGCCTCAGCCTCCTGAGTAGCTGGGACTACAGGCGTGCACCACCACACCCGGCTGATTTTTACTGGTTTTGGTAGAGATGGGGTTTCACCATGTTGGCTGAGCTGAGGATGTGTCCTAACTCTGTAAAGCTCCATCTCCTGCCTAATGGGACTCTTAGGTGTTTGGTTCTAATCTGAGGAGGGCTGAGGTCACCAGGGACTCTAAGCATACCAGGTGGTGCGATCATTTGTTTCTCACATAGTAATTAGGGGAGTGATGAGGACATCTGAGCCCTGGATGGGGGCTGGTCCCAGGCCTAGGAGGGGTCCTTGGAGGGTGTTTGTCTAGAGCTGGTGGATGAAGGGCATGAGGGTTGAAGATTCAGAACAATAGTATTTCAAAGGTGCTTTTTGTTTGTTTGTTTGTTTTGAGACAGAGTCTCTCTCTGTTGCCCAGGCTGGAGTGTAGTGGGACAATCTCAGCGCACTGCAACCTCCACCTCCCGGGTTCAAGTGATTCTCTTTCTCAGCCTCCCAAGTAGCTGGGATTGCATGTGTGCGCCACCATGCGCAGCTAATTTTTGTATTTTTAGCAGAGACTGGGTTTCACTGTGTTGGGCAGGCTGGTCTTGAACTCCTGACCTCAGGTGATCCTCCCGCCTCGACCTCCCAAAGTGTGGGATTACAGGAGTGAGCCACTGTGCCTGGCCTCAAAGGTGCTTGCAAACTGCTCCCTGCCACACACCCCACAATCCACAAGGTCATCTCAGCCTGGCGCAAGAACCCCATATCTAGGGGCTGAAGCAGCCTTGAGATATTTACTCAGAGTCCGGGGCCCCAGCCCTGATCAGGTGGCTGGTGAAGGCAAGCAGAAAAACCAGTTGGTTTGATGTTTCCACTTGAACGTTCCAGAGAAAGAGGTGGGCTCAGGGCAGGCGTCGTTGCTACCTGGCCAAGAAGCTTGCTGTCGGTTGGCGAAGGCCTCCTTCTGGGGGAGGCCAGAGGGGAGGCCTTCCGGAGCCCCTGACCTGCGGAGGTGAAGGTGGGAGGTGAAATGGACTATCGCTCTTTGGAGGTCGAGTCTACACCGCCCCATCCGTGTTCCCAGCCTTCCTGTGAAGTGGGAGGGTGCCGTCCTTATTTTGCTGATGAGGAAAGAGAGGTTTGGATGGCGAAGTAACCCAGCTCCAAGTCACTCAGCCAGGGCACGGCCCGGATTCTTTCCTTCACTGACTCTTTTTTTTTTTTTTTTTTTTTTTTTGAGACGGAGTCTCGCTCTGTTGCCCAGGCTGGAGTGCAGTGGCCAGATCTCAGCTCACTGCAAGCTCCGCCTCCTGGGTTCACGCCATTCTCCTGCCTCAGCCTCCCGAGTAGCTGGGATTACAGGCGCCCGCCAACTCACCCAGCTAGTTTTTTTGTATTTTTAGTAGAGACGGGGTTTTGCCGTATTAGCCAGGATGGTCTCGATCTCCTGACCTCGTGATCCACCCGTCTCGGCCTCCCAAAGTGCTGGGATTACAGGCTTGAGCCACCGCGCCCGGCCTCCTTCACTGACTCTTAACGCAGTGCTCCGTGTATTTCGTCACCACCCTTCAGGCTGTGGGGACCAAGGGCCGAAGGGGCGCGGCCTGAGGCGGCCGGGACACTGCGCCTAGGTGGCGGTGGCATTGAATGGGTTAAGGAGGGGAGGTGGCGGGTGTCCCTTAACCGCACCTGGCCCAGTATCGGTCACGTGGCCAGGGTTTCACCTGCCCCGCTGAGCAGGGACAATCGGGCTGCTTGTTTTGTGGCCGGTCGCCATGGTGACAGCAGCGTGCCAGAGGAGGTCATGGGGCAAATTCCTGCTGGCCGGGCCAGGTGGGGCAGGAGTGTCAGCTGTGCTGGCACCAGTTGGGGTTTCCCGGAAGACCCCTGGAGCTTTCCCGTGGGGCTGTACCCAGTGGGCCCCTATGTGACT